AGATCTCATCGTTAATGCGCTGAGTATCGCAAAAGTAGTTATAAAGCCCAGTTAATTACTTGTATAACACAAAACAAGGTCGTACCATACATCTGGATGGCAGCAGATGATTCATTTTGAGCTTGACCATTTTGTTGAAATAAGCAGCTTCTCGATTGCCTAGATTTACAAAATGAACAGCCTTGTAACACGTTTAAAATATGCCATAAGCTTTTATATTGCTTTTAGATGTCTGTTACCCACACTTAGACATCTTAGTGTCTAATACAAAAGCTATATAGAAGCAATTATAATACATTGGGTAATCACTAGAACTCATTATTTATAGTAGACTATAGATATAGGCTGCATAAAATATTCCTGAGATTATTTGACACAAAGCAGTGTGGTTTTGATCATTTCACATTGAGAAACGACTCCTCTGTAGTATTTCACTACAGAGGTTTTCTTCAGTCTTATTTGTACTTGTCTTATTTCAAGCTAAGTGTGTTTTCTCAGAGGAAAAGAGCCAGAATAACACAGAGGGTTGACAGTGTCTCCTTCCTCTCAGTAACCACAGTGTTGCTGAAATTGTCTCTGCATAACTGAACACTAAAGAGCATGCTCAAATTAATTGGGTCTAGTACAAACTTGCTCCCCTTGTTACTGTAGCTACATGCACACATCCTGCACACACTGTTTACTCAATAAGACTCCAAATGAGTTTCATCCACGATAATCTCAAATTCACATGTTCATATACCTACTATGTGGTTTAAGTTGACTCTGGAAGTCAACAGAACAAATTAGCATTTTTCTTTAGTTTGTTAGCCCAGTGTTTGCGTGCCTGTATAAGAATAGGTGGGTATCAACATAATGTTGTTGTTGGTCTTTCAACACCATGTTTTTGCTGTCGAATTATAGATTTTGTACACGTTTAGTTATTGATTTTTTTCAAGATTCCAAGTAAATAAGTTGTTTTGGTTGGAGCACTGTAACGAAAAGCAGATACCAGACAATAGTAAGCAGGTGTCAGTGAACACTTCCTGTCTCTCTGTCAGGATCCAGGGTGGCATTAAAGCGGGCTGAGCCTTTGCATTTATTCCTGTTAGAGCTGTTAATGAGTCTGCTCTGATGTTCACCAGCATTCACTACTCTCACTACATACACGTTTACAAGCCATTATGAGCTTCTCTTTTCATGTCCTTTTCTATATGTTCATACATACAGCCAAAACGATGAGTCTATTAATTGATCGGCCAATCTCCGGAATATTGAAGTTGAATCCCTTATCTGTACCTCACTGTATCCTCATTTGATGCCACTCAGCCACCATACAAAGGCCTTCATCTGCTGTGTCTCCTGTTAATGTGACGAGAGCAGCTCTCACAATGGCAGCGTAAATGAGAGTCAAACAGAGGCCAAATGAAAAAATCAACACTGTCATCCCGGTCATCTGTACGCAGGTGAAGAACTGGTTTCTAGGAGCGTGGAGGAGCATTAATGTGACATTGCAAGGACCCTTCTGTAAAGCTGAAGTGTGTGTGTGTGTGTGTGTGTGTGTGTGTGTGTGTGTGTGTGTGTGTGTGTGTGTGTGTGTGTGTGTGTGTGTGTGTGTGTGTGTGTGTGTGTGTGTGTGTGGTGTGTGTGTGTGTGTGTGGTGTGTGTGTGTGTGTGTGTGTGTGTGTGTGTTGTGTGTGTGTGTGTGTGTGTGTGTGTGTGTGTGTGTGTGTGTGTGTAGTGTGTGTGTGTGTGTGTGTGTGTGATGTGTGTGTGTGTGTGTGTGTGTGTGTGTGTGTGTGTGTGTGGTGTGTGTGTGTGTGTGTGTGTGTGTGTGTGTGTGTGTGTGTGTGTGTGTGTGTGTGTGTGTGTGTGTGTGTGTATCCTGTTGGTTTAACCTTGAACACACAAACAGCGGTGCAGAAGCAGGTGGCAGAGGATGTTCAGATTTACAACGGGTGATGGAAGTGCGTGTGTGTTTTCCTAAACAAGCAGCAGGCAGAGACACACTAGCTGTGTTCCTGTCATGTAGGTTCCTCACAAAGCACTTCACACCTCCAAAACAAGACACGTTCCACTAATTACAGCCTGTTACAAGGCAAACATTATCTCAAAGGGGATCTCCACTGAGGAGAGTCCTTTTTCAGCAACGTCACACGTTCAGTGATTTGAGATGTTCTTCTACACTTCAAATCTTTATTTTTAATAGTTTTTCAGTCTATCTCTCTCCATCTGAATGAGTTGTTCTAAAGGTGGGAAATATGTTTGCAACTGCTGCCTCCATATTCACTTTTGGATGCTCATGGACCTACTTCTTAGTGTACTTTTAGCATTTGTATTAAAGGTCCCCTATTATACTGTTTTTCATGACTTTATTATAGGTCTCAGATGTATACAAAACATGTCTCTGAAGTGTTTGGCTCCAAACACCAAACAGATCATTGACGCATCCCATAATCCCCTCTGTTTCAGCCCTGTTTCAAAAGTGCTGATTCTCTGTCTGTTACTTTAGATGAAAATAAGGAGCCACTCCCCACGCCCCTTAAAAAGAACACAATGGTGCTCTAGGAGGAGATTCAGGTGATAAGGTGGTGGGGGGGGGGGGGGGTTACCTTGGTTGGTTATTGGCTAATGGTTACACAACCCAAAACATTGTTATGACATCATAAAGTGGCCAAAATCTGATCAGCTAATTTTCAGACGGGTTTTTATATAAATGGATGAGGACAAAAAGTGAGCAAATCTTTTTTCCTGAAACTTTCAGAATCTCTTTCCACAGAGGGGACACATGTTTATGTATAAAAGACATGAAAAAGTGGATTTAGCATAATAGGTGACCTTTAAAGGCGTTGCCTGTATGATTCAGTTCAGTGAGTCATGTGTGTGTACAGCATGCGTCAGACTGCGAGTGTTGAAAGGTTTGAGGAGGGGTGAGCGGGATGTGTTTTGGATTATGGAGTTCAGTTCCGTAACGTGTCCCTGTCCTCCCTCCCACTCTGCTGTGTAATACGGCCAGACGTGGTCATTACTATTAATTGAAAAAGATGATACTGTAAAATCAATTTGGAGGAAGCTATAAGCCAAGCTGATAAAACTAGATCAGGGGAGAAGGACAAAGAGAAGATACGTTGCATTCAATAAACAAGATTATGTTTGTATTTGTTTATTGTTTCTTTAACCCTTTCATGCATGAATTATGAAAGCCTCACTCAGGATTTTTTTACCAAGTGTTTTTATAGCTCTGGGGCATGACAAACAAGATTTTAACTTTAGTTTTTTTTATCTAGTTTTTTCAAATTTAGAAAAAAAATGTTTTATATGTCCACTCAGGTGGACAGTATGCGTTAAAGTCTAAACTGAAAACTTGTACATTTGGAAAAAATGATAAATAAAGATGTGCAAACTTAAAATGACATTATAATAACTTGAGTATATTGATTTAAGGCCCAAAAAGATATTGCAAATGAAGTATTTTCAAGAAGAACAGTAGCAGTAACAGTATGAATTGTAGTGTAAATATATGACGTATATATGCATGACGTCCACTTTAGTGACAGGCGAATAATCATGATTTCCTGCAAACATAAAATCAGTACTTTGACAATTTATGAATGATATGATTCCTTAGTTGTTACTTGATGTCACCAAATGTTTTATACCTGCAGGGAGCGCTTTCCATGAAAGGATTGGCAGGATATCGGCAGGTGACTTGGTCCATCTGGCTTTCTGTCGTTCATCTTGGTTTAGAGACATTTATCATGCACTTACTGACTTGGCACTGAGTGCCAGTGTATGGGATGATGCAATAGGGTCCTATGTAGTGGCTGCCATCAAAACCCATGCATATACAAGAAAACACCTTTTGAAAAGCTGTCCACTGTAGTGACCTCTATGCGTGAAAGTGGGTTTGATGTCAGGAAAACTGGATCTCAGGCTTTTCTCCATCAGATACAAAACACCATCACCATCACCAAATCACCTGATACTTGGAGCATTACATTACCGCCATGTCTTCTTTATATTTGATTGTTACTGAGAGGCAGCCAAACAAGGCTTATCATCTAATTTTGTTGCCAGATAAAGCTATATAATTAATGGAAAATGATATGAGAAAAAGCTCACAAGAACTTAGCCAGTTATATCAATTTACCTGGTAATAGAAATGATCGGCACAAAAAAATATGAAGATGCTACCTAACATTTTTTAAAATAATATAATAAATCTTTATTTAGGGACTTCTGCGGTATAACCTGCATCCAGATCAAAGCAAAGTAAACCTAACATCTATATCTGTGCTAAGATAAAATGACTAATGTGTTGGCTCACATCTAGAGGCAAATGATTATGATTTTTTGAAGTTTGTGAGTTTTGCAGATTGGCATTAAGACACATCTTATGACTATGGACAATTAGAAACATAACAACAACATCACCATGCAGACATTCAGCACCATTCCTCCTCCTCCTCTCCTCTCCTCTGTGTGTCCTGCAGTCAGACTCCTGTGTCTTGTTTCCTCCTTCACCCCGGTGGGAGGAGGGAGGTCACAGACGAGACTGGCCAGCAGCTCACAGATATACATGGCACTCTTATTGCAAGTTTCATTTTTTTAAATGTTGACTATATTATCCCCTTTTTTTTAATAGTTACACTGTTTACCTATCAAACGTTTTCAGCTGGAGAGAAAGTGGGTCTGACAGATGTGTTTAAAATGAACTTAATGTAATGTGTAATATATGCTAGCCAAACAGGTGTCATTGTATGTGTATGAGGAGGAGGTTTAAATATTTAAAGGTGTGCATCACCACTCTCTACTTCTGTCATTCATGCATGCATAACACATATTAAGGTGTGTAATGCATGTATAAAAGGTCAAGGCATAAGCACACACATCAACAAATCTAACACCAGCCATAACAGTTGTAAATCACACGTTACACAAGTCATTTAAAAAAGATTTGTTTCACATATCCTTTGTTATTGTTTTGTCTAATCTCTCTCTCTCTCTGTCCCCCTCCTCAGCCGAGCCCCTCCCTCTGATGGACCTGTGTCGGCGTGCGGCCCGCATGGCGCTGGGTCGGGAGCGGCTTCAGGAGATCGAGGGCCTGCCCCTGCCCCAGTCCCTGAAAAATTACCTCCAATACCAGTGACTGACACCAGCAGAGCCAACTGGGAGTACAAGGACACAAACCAGACCTCCAGAAAGATGGATGCATTAACGAAATGAATGAAAGGATGATGGATGGAAGCATGTCCACACTGAGAGCGCCATAGCTCCACAACAGATGGGTGTATTAAAGGATGGAGAGAAGGAAAGATGGTGGGAGAACTGAAAGAGGACGTCCAGGCTTTCAAACAAAGACAGCACCAGCTTCTCTTGGATTTCAAGCTGCTTTTTCATTTGTTTTTTGACTTGAAATAAATTATTGATGATGGTATCCCATCAGCGGCTCACTCATCCAGAAAGGAAACCCATGGTGTGGGGAAGAGGCGACAGTGTCCAGATGAACACCGCCACCTAGTGATGAGAAGGAACACTGCACAGAGAAAGCACACTAATCCTATCCTGGAGGCCTTTCTGACTACAGTCAGTGACCATATCATTGCTGTTGACTCTGTATTCTCCTCTGGCGAAGGTGACAGGATGCCAAGAGGATTTTAGCACTAATGTTGTTTTTATCTGATTGACTCGGGGCCTGACTAAAAGCTCACTACGCATACAGAATAGACAAAAAACATGGCTGCAAGGGGGATGCAAAATGAAACAGGCATACTGAATTTCTCTCCTGGCTTTATGCAGACATTTTGTACGGGAGTGAAGCCCTTTTCAGACATGGTGGTTATAGTGTGTTAATTAATGGAAATATTCACCATACTCAGTATTTAGCACCAGGTGAACGAGAAGTAGTGATGGAGTTGAAAAGTCATGATGTTAATGATGAATAGTGGGTCAGTGATGATTTTAAAATGTGTTCAAATCTTGATTAATGTGCATAGTCAGTGTGAGAAGCTACCACCCGTTCCAACTTATAATTTCACATTGTATTAGTTTATTTTATTCTGCTGCTTTTTTATACTATAATGTCCCAATACAGAATGACAAGTCTCTCGTGCCTGTATGCTGTATTTGAACACTTTTATATACAGGATATTTATCATTTCGTCCATGCAGTTAGCCTGAATGTTACTTGAAAAAAGATTGGCGGTGTGTTGGTTTTAATGTTTTTTATTTTTATTTCTACCTCTTTTGCCCCATGCTGCATGGGGAAATAAAATCATTTTAAGCATCAATCTGAAATGACTACAGTTTCCTCAACGTAAAATTGCTCATTGACAGTGTTTCAGTGTCTTTTCATAGAATGTTTAATTACGTGGTACTTTTTTCAGTGCTCTTAAAGCTAAATATTCATAAAGAAATAGAAAAACACCAGTCATAAACGAACACAAAAAACTCATCCTATTCACTAATCTCTAATGATTAATAACTAACCTTTTTAAACTAGGAAACTGAGTTCTTGTTGGACCACATTGATCATAGCGCGAAGCTTAAAGAGCAAATACTCTTTAGGCCTCTATAGAGGAACCGAGACATACATTTAATCATTTTATTTGTATAATTTGTGCTGCCGTGGCCTTGTGATATTGTGATGATAACGTGACGAGCTGCGTGTCTGAAAGGGGCTTATTCACATGTAAAAACTGCTCAAGTTTAAGGTGCTACAGAGAACCATTCCTTCTCACAGGACACCAAATCATGAATTATGATGTCCTTCAGGACCAAAGGTACTCATGTTAAGCCGTGGAGTGTGTGAGTTTGTGTTGGTGGAGAGATTCGCCTCACCTGCTGTTGTAGCACCCTGCTGTAGCTCACTGGTACCAGGCAGCACCACTGTCTTAACAAACAAACAAACACACATAATAGTAAAGGCTGGAGCAGAATGTATGAACATTACTGCTGACACACACACACACACACACACACACACACACACACACACACACATACATATACACACACACACACACACACACACACACACACACACACTGTAGACCAATCATGTTTTTTTCCCCTATAAACGGCTTGAGTCACTTTCTTTTAAACTTCTGAGTTTGTATTCAACATTATAATTAATTGTATTGAGTTTTGAGTCTGATGATGGCAACAGTTTTATGTTTGTTCTTCTAACGGAGGTTGATGGTTACATTCAGGTAATTGAATACAAATATGCTGTTGATGAAGGGAGGCAGAAATCAAAAGTTGTTTCTTCAATGCTGCTTTTCATTATTATTATTAATATTATTATTATTTTTATTTGGGATGGCGGTGTTCTCCCCTTCTGTTTTCATCGGCTACGATGGGGAGGAAGGGGACCGTTGAGTTGTAGTGGAATGTATGGACGGATGGTGCAGTTGAGATGTCAAAAGATATGAAATGTGAATAAAAGCCAAGTGAATTTGAAAAGGGTCTGTAAAATATTTCTTGTGTTTCCTTCTCTTGATTATTTCTTACCCGAAAGCTCGTGGTTGATACATTTTAGGAATGGTTGAAGTCATCAAAGTACATCTGACACTGACTCAAACAGATCTGCAGTCAGATTCAAACGTTGCTTCACTAGCGCTGACACATCTCCAGCTCCGTCGATTGTGTCTGAGGGAGCGTTTAATCTACCGAGGGAGGCCTTCTCAGGGAAATTGGGTTCTCCCAGTTGTCAAATGTGCAGTTTCCACATCAGAAAGTACACCGTTAATGCACTGCTCATCAGCTCAGGCAGCTGTAAATACAGCTCACACTCTCACACTCAGCCAAAGAGATATCGACATGCTCACAGTGTGAAATAAAAACCGCAGGGCACAACAAAACAGAGAGACCAAACAGACCTTAGTGAGGCTGGATTCTGTTTCTACTGTGCGATGTGGGAACGAAGTCATTTGAGGGGTGTGGCCTCCTACAAAGCCATATTGGTGGGTTAGCAACGTCTGTTGACCCTAAAGCCTACAGAGTTTTCTGAATTAGCGAACATCAAAACAAGAATCCTCTAGTGCAGGGGTGTCCACACTTTTTTCACCGAGGGCCACATATAGAAAAATATACGAAGGGCTGGGCCACTCCTACAGGTTTATTGCGTCATAAATTCAGTTATAAATTGGAAAAATCTATCCAATGTAGGCAAATTACTCTTGATACTTCAAAATGTTGTTAGAAAAAAACTGCCTACATCCCAGCTCTCCATAGGGTTTCATTTATCTTGTTAGCAGCTCATTCCTTAAAATAGGAGCCTCAGATTGCTCATCATCATAAGAGGAAATAGGAAGAGTTTATTTCAAGGTTGTTATGTACATTTGTTATTGGGCTTTTTCTTATCAACTTAGATTTGTTAGAACATGTTTTCAACTTTTTCTTTTCTTTTTTTTTATATATTTTGATTGAAGACACATAAAAAAGACATTTGGTACATTGACAGGGACCACAGTTCAAAGTTACTAGTAACTATTTAGTCTCTACTATTGTGCATCAATTGACAAGCCATACATGGTTAATTTTCTCTTGAAGGCATACAGTATTTAAGCCACTTTCATAACTCAAACAGACCAGATAGCCAAATATAAGGGAGTAGTGTACCGACTGAACTAAACAAGATAATAATAATAAAATCAAAATAATAATACTAAAACAATACAAAGACAAAACTTAACATAAATACGTAATAAAGGTGAAGGGGGGGGGGTGTCCATCAATCAGTAACCAAAAATGCGATAGATTGGAAGAAGGTTAAGAAGGGTTGCCACTTAGTGTAAAACATAGAGGTTCTGCCTCTTAATGAATACTTAATTTTCTCCAATTTTAGAAAATACATAACATCGCTGCTTCGTTCTTTTTGACATACTATATTTATTTTTATAAAAGAATACAATACTATGACGTTTTTTAACACATTTTTAACATACTTGTTTTACTTTTTTTTATCATACTTTATGACTTTTGTTCATTTTCTATTTACACTACATTGTTTTGAAAAAAGAATACTATAACTTTTGTATTATTTTCGACGTAACCAGAGGTGGGAAGTAGTGGAGTACAAATAGGTTGTTACCTTCCTTAAGTACATTTTTCTGGTATCAGTACTTTACTCCACTACTTATTTTTATGACGACTTTTTACTTTCTCACATTTTTAACACAAATACCTGTACTTTCTACTTCTTACATTTTCCAAACAGGCTCGTTACTTTAGTTGTAATCTGTTTATCCGTTTATTTCCCAACTTTGTTTTTCTTTGCTTGTGTTCTGAATAGTTGTTGTTCAGTGTTGAAACATTCATTAGTTAACAATGACTGACATAATTACAATTTCAAATAGAAGATCTTTAATGTTCTATTAATTTAACCCTTTCATGCATGAATTATGAAAGCCTCACTCAGGATTTTTTTACCAAGTGTTTTTATAGCTCTGGGGCATTACAAACAAGCTTTTAACTTTAGTTTTTTTCTATCTAGTTTTTTCAAACTAAACTAACTTAAGTCATTATAATGACTTACAGGATTTTAAATTGTTTTTCCTGTGGCGCAAACAGGCTTCCATAGATACATGACCCTTTTATTTTACAAACTACACAATGTATTTTTTCAACATACTATATATGATGAAACTATTATATACTATTCATAATATGTAATACACTGTGTTACAAGGCGGGTATATAGTCTGTTTCAAAAACAAGTAATAAAATGCATTATTTGCAAACTAAAATCCAAGCTAACTCACTAGCAGCTCATGGTATATTCTTGCCAGTCTCAGAGTTTCCTCCATCACAGTGCTGTTGAACATGTGCTGCTCATCACTTTAAATGCACATTAAGCTACTCATTAGTGGAAAGTGTTGCTTCACGCTCAGGGACCTGCTGGGTAGAACTGAATCGTCAGCACTGTTGTGAAGCAGAGCTGCAAAACTCTGGACATTTAATACAATTAATTCACATGAAGGCCAATCAATTAAAAGCTGAGCGGGATTCATTGCAAATCAACAAACTAAGGATTATACAGCAAGAGTGTTTTGACTCTTTTTAAAACATAAATATTTTTAACCTGGTGTTCGTCAAACAGAACATTTTGTCATAAATATTAAATATTATTATTTGTAGCATGCAGAACAAAAAAGTATTTAAAAGTATTTTCAAATGATAGATAGATAGATAGATACTTTATAGATCCCAATTTGGCACATTTTTGTGTTGCAGCAGCATCAAAAACACAAGGCAATGTTAAGAGAAACTAAGACACAGAAATAAACAGTCCAATATATTTCAGAAATAGAAATAGAAATAAAATAGCATTAAAAACTTATAACTTAAAAAAGATTTTTAAAAAATATATATATATAGGCTATAGGCCTACATGTGGAAAATATACATGTGGAAAAATAAATGGTATTCAAAGGAGAATAAATGCCATTAGTTTCCTTTATTTTAGCACATTGCCGGTCATCTTGTATGTTCTAACTTAAGTAAACCAGATTTGATCGACAATGTGGATCTATTCATTCATCATCAATCTCGTTTTTTTTAAGGATGTTCTTTTGAATTTCTTGACATTGATGTGTCCCGTGCAGTTCAGCCTTCCACCAGCAGGGGTCAGTAATACTCCACGATTGAGTTGGACCATGTTATATTTACCTCTCTAAAAACATAAAAAACAACACACACGTGAAAAAGTTGATATTGATAACATCTCAATAAAGACTTTGATAGCAACTTTTATTAAATAATATAAGTTCCAATACTTGTATTTATTTATTACATTTCGCTACCAATACATAGAAATGAGGCTTGTTTTCCAACACTGTTAAAGCTTGCCCCCTCCAAACCGTTATTATAATATTTAGATATTGATGTTCGTCAGACCACTGTAATGTTCTCTGTTCAGCAGCGGCATCCCCAAATAATAATCGAAACACCAACATTGCATTATAAATGCATTATAAACCCAATGGTTGCGTTCTCCACATTGTTGCAAAATGTTACATCATTAAATGTGTGTCAGTGTGTATCTTTACCAACATATTTATGCTTTCCAAGCCCATATTGCATTGTCCATTACCGTCTCTTCACCTGGTCCTGAATGTCATCATTCTAGCCTGACACTAAATCATATAGATATAACAATCTCTGACATTTTGTCTGGAATAAAATGTATCACATTTATGCTCTTTTTCTTTTCCATGTATCAATTGTTACCATTGGTTATTGTTAACTTTGTTCTGTGAGGACCAAGTTGCTCATATATGCTTTTCTTTTCCACTTCAACTCTCATACTAACATGAACATTTTTAAAAAGCTAAAGAAAAGCCATTTGTTTTTTCTTTATTTCAAACACAAGGGAACTTTCATTGATTCAACTTCAGCCCACTTAGTTACGTTCTTGTCTTACCTCATATACATGATGCAGTAGATTGTTAAATCATCATTAATATCAAATGTACTTGGTTCTTTTTTTGTAGTTTAATTAATACTCCACCATTTTGATAATGTGGAGATAGGACCCTGTTGGGTCCAGTGTTACACACAATTGTGTGTGAAGAGTCAATCTTTCACTTACAGCTGGGCTTATTGATAATATGCATTCATTTACAAGTTTAATCTCTTTTCCAATTTGACTATGTATTATTACTAGCCAGGCCAGATCAGGGGTACTGAACAGAATCTGCAGATTGTTTTATGCAGCTTTAATAAAGGTTATGAATTGATGTTAAATGCTAGTATTCAGCATTGGCTGAAGTTCAATTATACAACACAATTTGAAGAGGTAATAAGGATGCATATTTCATTTATTGTGGGAGAACACACACGCACTTACACACGCTCTCACACAGACACACACAGATCAGATGCCTAGTGCACAAACAAGTAGGAGATATGAGTAGAGTCTAAAACAAGTCTTTATTGGTCAATATACAGAAATCAGTAGGATTACCACTAAAGAGAGAGAAATCCCGACCATTTTGTTTACAAAAAGAAAAAGAAACGGATATATAAAATAACTGTCTTGAACATTTTTACAGGGTTTATTTTTTATATGTAAAAGAATCTTTTCCTCTTTCAGAAGCACAATATGACAGAGGGGGACAAGGGGAAACAAGGCAGTTGTCTCACAATTATGACATCACAATCACAGGTGCTTAAAGGAGGACAGAGGGAGGGACATGTGGAGAGGAGACGCGTCAGTCACAGACCTCAGAGGGATGATCACTGGCAATCAGAGTAGAAACGGGAATGTGTAAGGAGTTACATTTAGAGAATTGAAATGCAGACAAACCCATTGGATTAAATCAAGTGTACTTGAAATGCAATATTGATGTTTAAAAGAAGGAATTCATATCAAAGAAGTCTCCACTGCTGCTTGTTCTGGTGAAGTTGTGCAGAGTGGTGACTTGATAAAAGTGAGATAGATAAACACACTTATTTTCTCCAGCATTCAACTCATTAAGTTAAGTCATAAGTATTCTTTCGATAAAAACATCATGTTCTGATAAATAAACTTTAATTATGTAGTCGAGATGATCCTACTCAGATATAAGGGAAACTTTTAGGAAAAATCCTGCATCACAAACTGAAAGCTCAAAAAGACCCTAGGTCGTTTTTACAAATATATTTTCGAGAGTTAGTGAGATATCGTTAGACAGGTCTTGATTTGCGTCCAATGCGAGACAGTTTCACAACATATAAGAACACTATTGTTTAATCCGAAAAAGTGTGCCACCTTAGCTCCATGCTGCGGCCCCTGCTTAACAGGACCAAGTGAGGAGAAACAGGACAAGGTTAATAACATGTGGTTTGCTAACACATGTATGGGTCGAGTAAGAAGATAATCGTTTTTAGAGTCTGCAGTGAGGGCCTGTCATTTTCATTTCGCTAAAGAAATGGTCCCGAGTCTGACTGAAGAGTTGTTAGAAAGTCAACAAACCTTAACATCTCAGCTCTGTACCGAGTGGAGATGTTATGGCAGTAAAAGTTGTTTTATATTACACGTCACTCACATCTCTCAACCTCTTGTTGAATCTGTTAATAACTCATCATTTTACAAACCATCTGTTATTAAAAAATAAACCAAATAAATACAAGTACTCTGAGGGAAGTGGCACATATTAAACGTTAAAAGCACACATAATCTTGGGTAATGTTAGAAATGGGGTGACAGCCATTTTGTTTGAAAGAGTCGATGACTGCAGTGCCCCTGTTTCTGTGTACTGGTCCTTTATACTGGGCCCATACTTGCATAGAGGGCTCCCTTTACTACAAATGAAACATCTCCGTACTATTTCTTCTATTTCTGTATAACAATGAAAGCTACAATAGGCCGCAGTATGGAGAGATTTGGTACACAGACAGATGCAAACAAACAGCACTTTTGTTTCTAAGAGTATTTGAACCTTTCTATCACCTTAAAATACTTTTGAGAAACTAAAGGGAGACAATATTAGACAGTTGATATTCTGCTGATATAAATCAAGACAGAAGTCTAATGTTTATTTTAAGAGGTAACATGTTCTCAGAGAAAGAGAGGTTTGAGTTATGAGAAGGATATACGCTGAGGGACGGTACATCTATGTTATACCTATTATAAAGGCCAAAGGAATTATATTTTAAAACGTTTATGGATACATTAACACATGTACTGTATATGGATACATCACTCTGATACATCTGCTGATAACTCACCAGTTTGCAGACAATCTGATCAAAATATAAAATAAACAATATAAAAGTAATCTGAGGAAAATTGCACATATTAAATATTGGGATCAAAGCCCACATTATCTTTGTGTTGATGTTAGAAACGGAGAGAGTTTGCGTCGCTAAATTCAAGAGCTTAGATTCATTTTATCAGCTAATTCTCCACATCATGAGAAAGCTGTGCTTCAGCAGAGGGAGATGAGTCATTAACAATGACAACGTGGGAAGGTTCAGTGTTTGTTCCAGCAACAGATTGTAAATTATTTGATCAGAGATTTTGTTTCTGTGTACCTTTAGCGAGCGTGAAGTAATGTCTGCATCAACATGTGTGTGTGTGTGTGTGTGTGTGTGTGTGTGTGTGTGTGTGTGTGTGTGTGTGTGTGTGTGTGTGTGTGTGTGTGTGTGTGTGTGTGTGTGTGTGTGTGTGCGTGTGTGTGAGAGCGATGGGCATGTAAAGTGTGTTTTAATGTGCAGATCTGTGTTTGTGTGTGTGGTCAGTACGTTATGGAGGAACTGTCCCACTCTAGTTTTCCCTTCTGCTTCCTCTCTTCCACCTTTTCTCTCTCTTCTTCCTCTCCCCCCTCTTCATCTTCATCACTGCTGTCTGACTCGGCACTCGTCATGCCTCCCACCTGTTCCTCCTCTTCCTCTTCTTCTTCCTCCTCCTCCTCACGTTCTTCTTCTTTTACCTCTGCATCACGTGCCTGAGCTCCACCGAGGTTCTAGAAAACAAAGCATGATTTAGTAAAGTCACTACAGTTATCAAATACTGAATTACAAAGTATGTGGATATTACATTCCATAACATGTATTTTAGCTGACGCTTTTATCCAAAGCGACTTACAATAAGTGCAAAAAGCATAAAGAATCAAACTCGGAACAACAAGGAAAGTGCAGATACATTCACTTCAAACAATATCATACGTGCGTAAGTGCTGGTGAATAAGTTACGAAGCCTAAAATAACTCAATAAGTGCTTTTCCCCCCCTTTTTTCCCAGCAATCATTTAATTGCCAAGGTAAGGAAATATATGTGCTTTCAGTTAGTGACGGGAGATATGGAGAGTTTCTGCTGTCCTGATGCCAACTCAGTGGACATTTTTAAATGACAGCTAAAACCACATATTTTTAGATTAGCTTTTTATTAGCACTTTAAATGTTCTTTTAGTCTTTATTATTTGCCTATCTTTATATTGTTTTATTTATTTTATAGGTCTTAATCTTTTTCTTTCTGTTGTACTTATATGTTCACTTGGTGTTTGTTTTATATTTTTGCATTGACTCAGTTGTCTTGTACGACGGAGTATTAGGGCCACACTTAGAGAAAAAAAAAACAGAGAGATTTCGAGAATGTAGTCATAGTTACGAGAATAAAGTCGTAACATTACGAGAATAAAGTAATAATTACGAGAATAAAGTAATAATTACGAGATTAAAGTCGTAGTTTCATAAGTGACTTGAGAAGCGGACTTGGAGGAGATTGTCTCCTTTCTGCAGGAGGAAATGGCTGGTTCTGGCCGACTACATTGCATTTAGCTGACGCTTTTATCCAAAGCAACTTACAATAAGTGCGTTCGACCAAGAAGATACAAACTTGAAGAAAACAGAATCATATAAGTACAGCAGGTTTCATAGAGCCAACACATTTCAAGTGCTACTCAACTGGCTTTAGATTAGCCAGTCCTTTATTAGTATATAAGTGCTTTGTTAGTAATTCTATCGCTCGAAGTGGAGTCGAAAGAGAGTTTTCAGTCTGCGCCGGAAGATGTGTAAGCTTTCTGCTGTCCTGATTTCAATGGGGAGCTCATTCCGATTCCACTACAAGGCTATCGTTCGACTCCTTCTGGATCCAAAGCCTTGATTACAAGTCTCATCGTTTCTTGTGAAACAACAAATCCCCTTTGAACAGCTCGTAGATGTAACCAACGATAGCCTTGTAGTTGGCCAGAACCAGCCATTTCCTCCTGCAGAAAGAAGACAATCTCCTCCAAGTCCGTTTGGTTCTTTCTTCGAAATAATAGACATAGTTTCTTGCACAACCTTTTCAAAGTTCTAATACGATAATCTGATGCTGATGTGCCAAAAGATTAAGTATTTCGTTATTTGAGAAACCTAAACTAAAGTACTGCTTCACAAGATGCTCCACATTCCTCATTTTATTGCAGGACGCTGCTGTTGTCTCCTTCTCAAGTCACTTATGAAACTCCGACTTTAATCTCGTAATTATTACTTTATTCTCGTATTATTACGACTTTATTCTCGAAATCTCTCTGTTTTTTTTCTTCTAAGTGTGGTCCTAATACTCCGTCGTAGTCTTGTGTCTTATCTGTCAGAGAGAAACCATTATTTATTTTATTTTATTTTTATTATCATACATTTTACCTCCTTGTGTCTATTAACCTGATAAAAGTAATATTTTGATGCATGTACCTTTTAAAGTTCTTAACAAATAATCTGAGGGGAATTTCTTGTCGATTGTTTTTAACTTGTGATGTGTCATTTTGTAAAGCACTTTGAGCTGTGTGTGTTGTATGAAAAGTGCTACATAAATAAAGCTTTATTATTATTATTATAATAATAATAATAATAATAATAGGGAGCAAACAGACGTGTTTTTGAGGGGTACCTGGGTCCCACTCGCAGTGATGGAGTAGCATAGTTCAGGAATAAAAAACAAAAAATACAATGTCAATCTATCCTAACCTCCATGGGGTTGACAGTGATGGTGAGTGCAGAGTTGTCCCAGTCTTCCTCAGTCCCTTTGACCTCGTCCTCGTCCTCTCTGGACCCCTCCTGATGCGTGGCGTGGATCCTGTACACGCCGATCACCACGATCACCACCAGGGCGGCGATACACACCACGATAACAGCTGTGGCTGCTGGAGGCGCTGATCCTGGAGGAGAAGTGGAGAGGCAATATAACTCTGTATGTTATATAATACATATTTATGGAGGTACAACTGAGTCTGCTCAGGCTGTAGATCTCTGACATTTTGGCTTTATCTTAATATCTTTCAAAAGTAATAGTAGTCATCATGATATACACTGTTTTCCTTCTCTATGTGAACTTATCCTTAAATAAAACATCCTCTTTTTACAAGTCTTGTTTTGACCTTCATTCTTTTCACCTATAACATCTTACTCTTAGATTTCATTGCCCTGGGCGTTTGTCAAGTAGACAAAGCTTTACGACAGAGCAATCTTCAGTTTAATCATCTTGTCTAGCTTGATCACTTGGAACAGAGAACAAAGGCACACAAATCTAAATGTGCATTGTAATCATTCATTGTAGCGTGGAAGTGGATCTGAGGCCAACTGCCGTACAGTAAAAACAATATAGATGAACTTTTAGGAAATATAAAAGAGGTTTTCACTGTTAACTATTAATATGAACCTTTGTTTTAACTCCAAATAATAGTCTGACAGGGCACATTAAAAACACAGTGACATTACTATCTTACCTGACATGTGTGAGTTGAGAGTGTGCATCATGAGAGGGTGATGGACCGGTCTCATGAACGGAGCTTGGGCGGCCATGTGATTGACATGCTCCACAGGTGCTGAGTGGTGAAGGACACTGACCTGTAGAGGGGGGGACAAACTATTATCCTTGTGCAAAGAAAGGTCATAAAAACAAAAAAAATGGCTATAGAGGGAACCAATACAGCAGTCCACACTTCTTCCACCGAGGGCCACATACAGAAAAACATACGAAGCCCTGGTGAGGTATATTGCCTCATAAGTTAAGTTAGCAAAATTAATCAAATGTAGCTAAATTATGCTTAATACTTGAATATGCTTTAAGAAAACAAACAGCCTATCACAGCTCTCCATAGGGTTTCATTTATCTTGTTAGCAGCTTATTCCTTAAAACAGGAGCCTCAGATTGCTTATCATCATAAGAGGAAATAGGAAGGGTTTATTTCAAGAGTGTTATTTTTTCTTATCAACTTAGATTTGATAGAAAATGTTTTCAACTTGAATTGACTGAATCAGTTTGAAAAGTGGGTTTCTTAACAGATGAATACTGTGTAATATCTGTAATATCATCTATATTTAAGAAGTACAATACAAGACAAGCACAAGTTTTGTTTGTGGGCCATACTCCATTATACTTTTTGAATTAGCTGAGGGCCGTTTCTAAATGTAGTTTGGACACCCCTGCAATAGAGCATTTTAAACATCAAAACACGACTAAAATCGAATGGAAGAATCAAGAAGGAAAAAGATTCAATAAACAGTGCAGGACGTATAGAGAGAGGACAGACCTCCAGGTTGAACTCGTTGCTGGTGTATCGTCCGTTGAGCTCGGAGCAGGTGAGTCTGAACCTCCTCTCACTCAGGGTGACAGGGCGCTGGTTCCTGTAGCGCAGCTGCCTCAGCGCCTGCTCGTAGTGGGCCATGGAGTCCACACCTGGGAACAGGATGGAAAAAATGAAAGGTCACCTATTATGCAAAATCCACATTTTCATGTATACATCAACACGTGTCCCCTCTGTGGAAAGAGACTCTGAAAGTTTCAGGAAAAAACATGTGCTCACTTTTTGTCCTGATCCATTTATATAAAAACCTGTCTGAAAATGAGCTGATCAGATTTTGGCCACTTTATGAGGTCATAATGTTTTTTTGGCTTGTGTAACCATTAGCCAATCACCAACCAAGGCAACCCCCCCCCCACCTTATCACCTGAATCTCCTCCTAGAGCACCATTGTGTTATTTTTAACCAAATAATATCTCTCAGAGAGGCGTGGGGAGTGGCTTCTTATTTTCATCTAAAGTAACAGACAGAGAATCAGCACTTTTGAAACAGGGCTGAAACAGAGGGGATTATGGGATGCTACAATGATCTGTTTGGTGTTTGGAGCCAAACACTTCAGAGACATGTTTTGTATATATCTGAGACCTATAATATATTGATGAAAAACAGTATAATAGGGGACCTTTAATACAAATGCTAAAAATATGTCATATAGCACTGTCTGCTTATCCTCCTAAAATCTGGGATTTAGGAGTTATTGAGATATGTTTTTAGTAGGGCCGGGACTCGATTAAAAAAATTCATCTAATTAATTAGAGGCTTTGTAATTAATTAATCGAAATTAATCGCATTTTTAATCACATATAAATATTTGACCTGAGAACAGTGAGAAGCAATTTTTTTCGCATGGATTTTAGTATACCATTAGGCGCATTCACACCGCAGTACTTTTCCCACAAAGGTTCATGAGAATTTAGTTCATGAGAACTCTTTGAACCTGGGGGAGGATTAGGCAAATGAAGCCGCTGACGTCACTTCTTCTTCTTCTGCTTCAGTAGAAGCTGCTGGGAGTCCCAGCAGCCTTCCGAGTAAATCGCCAGAACGCCGACATCTCCACCGCTCCCATGTTTTATTTTGTGTTGCCATAAATTAGTCTCTGCGTTTCTGCGCTGGGCTAATGCTAATAATGCTAATGCGAGGATAATAAAATTCACAAAACTTTTTGGGAGTTTTACGGGGCGTGGTTTGCAATCCGCCCAGCCAATCAGAAATATAGCTATTTTCACACAAGAGAGCCGTACGAAAGTCCCTGCTCTCTAGCAGGGACTGTCGTGGGGGTAAAAAGGTTCTCATGAACTAATTTTAGTACCGGCTCTTTTTGGTGTGAACGCGATAAAAGAGGCTAACGTCCACGCTAGCTGCTATATGTTTTGCATTGAGGTGATACTTGAGGCTTGATGTGCTGCGGTGATATGCGAATTCCTTTTTGCATAATTTGCACACAACCGTGCTCTTAACGACGCTACCATCCGTCCGTTTTTAAAAACAACATTTCCCACTGTTGTTCACTGTGGTTTGTTGTTGTCTGAAGTCATGAACGTTAGTTGGTGCTCCAGTATAATCGGTACGCCTGAAACTCATCCAGTGAGAAACGTTCCGCGGTGCAAAAATAAGTGCGATTAAAATGCGTTAATTTTTTTAACGCGTTAATTTTTGTGTAATTAATTAATCTTAATTAACGCGTTAAAGTCCCGGCCCTAGTTTTTAGTCAATAATGGTACTTATTTATGTTTTCTTTGAAGCTGTGGTGGAGAGGAGGACACTGAACAGGCCATCATGGATAACCCCACCTATCCTCTCCACCTGCAGCTGGACAGCCAGCGGAGCTCCTTCTCCAACAGACTGCTGCAGCTCCGCTGTCACAAGGACCGATACAGGTACAACAAATCACCTCTGGCTGGCAGAGAACTCTCTGCTCCATAGTTTCTCTTGGAATAAAACCACATTGTACATTTTACATTATATATTCAGTTTAATATTAAATATTCCATCTGTCACATACTTATGTATATATAATACCTTGCTTCATATATTGTTATTGTTAATTTGTAAATTCAATATGTATATTTTCTACTTTCTTGTCTTTAAATTGTTATTGTACAATGCCATGTCTTTTTATGCTGCTGCAACACAAACATTTCGCAAATTGGGATCAATAAAGTACTCTCTTATCTTATCTTTACCTGTCTCTTTATAATAGATAATTT